TGTCGCTAAAAGCTAAATTTAACAGAACTGTTGCTAAAAGCTAAATTGAGCAGAACTGTCACTAAAAGCTAAATTTGACAGAACTGTTGCTAAAAGCTAAATTTGACATAACTGTCACTAAAAGCTAAATTTAGCAGAACTGTTGCTAAAAGCTAAATTTAGCAAAACTGTCACTAAAAGCTAAATTTAGCAGAACTGTTGCTAAAAGCTAAATTTAGCAGAACTGTCACTAAAAGCTAAATTTAGCAGAACTGTTGCTAAAAGCTAAATTTAGCAGAACTGCTAAGGTAAACGGATTGTACTTGTATAGCTCTTTTTTTATCTCATCAAGATACTCAAAGCACTTTACAACAGAATCTGTGCCTCATTTACTCATTCATACAGCACTCTACTAGATCTATACAAAGAATAATCATTTTTTTAGATCACGGTCGTTCATACACCGATGGGACACACAACGGAGGCAGTGATGAGTTCAGTGTCTTGCCCAAGGACACTTCAGCATGTGGCTTCTCGAACCCCCAACTCCTGCGTTGGAGGACAACTACTCTAACCACTCAGCTAAAAACTAAATTTAGCAAAACTGTCACTAAAATTAACAATGAGCAGAACCACAGCTTATAATAGCTAAAGTGAGCAGAACAATTGCTAAAAGCTAAAACAAGCTGAGCCATAGCTAAAAGCTAAAATGAACATGTAGACAGTAGCTAAACTAAAAATAGCAGATGACAATAGAGGAAACATTCAGAAGCAAATTACAAAAAATGTTTTAAATGAATCAAAGAAATTGGTAAATAATTTAAAAAGTATAAACTCTTTTTAAAAACCAGTTTAAAAGCTGCAAATGCTACAAGTCTATATGTCGAACCAAACATTTTGCTCTGTGAAAGGCTAAAATGGCACAAGGTTTATGGAAATGGTTTGATTGTAACAAATGTACAGAGGAAACGGTGTGAGCGCTGACTCAGCATTCACACAATAATAGTGATAAATTCTGCACTAAGCATCTCTCTCTGCTCTGAGGCCTTCATTTCAAGGATTATCACACTTGGAGTGGAGCAGCAGGCGAGGGGTGTGGCCCACTTAGAAAAAAACACCTGTCTCTCTTGTGAAGCGATTGTCCACCTTCAACACAAAGTGTCTTACTTCGCAGAGCTCAGAGTTTATTCTGCAGCGTGACCCAGTAGCGCAACATTATCTAGGAAGCTGTTGTAAAGCCTTTGGGCACCTCGGCCCTCCATCTGTCTGTAGCGTACAGTATGTGGAGCGTTGGCTGCAGATGGAGGGGCTGGTGGTGTTAAGTTACAGCGTGTTGGCGGTTGGTTTAGCAAACATCCCTGATCCTGCTGATAAACAGAACACACATCAAACACATTACCAACCCCCTCCCTCGCCGCTCGGCTCTGATTACAGCTTTATTTCTAATCCAAAAAAACACAAATTGAAATAATTTTGTTCCCCTTCTAAATAAAAACTGTCCCCGTTGCCCAGTAGTTTTGGGAACAGGGTGCTGCTCCTGGTTTTGGTCCAGACTCCTGTTGGGATGGAAGTCCCCCTCAGTTCTTTAACTTTCGTCCACGTGAACATATTGTTCTTCCTTTTTTTGCCACTGTGACTCAGTTTTTCCTGTTTCTTGCTAACTTCTGTAAACACGGTTGCCACATTTCAGGTTTTCCAGCTTTACGCATCGATGGTTCTCTGCTCATTTATGTCCAATGTTTGTCTCCTCAGTCTGAAAGAACAGAAAGAAATGATGGTCCTCAGCGATGTGAGCGTCTCAGAGGCTCTGCGGTGTTCTGAGGCGTCCAGGAGCTGAAGACGAGTCGTCATCGACGGGTAAGACGCGCCTTTGGGTTAAATCGTATTTTCTTGTATTCACACAACGTTTTCCTGTTTGTAGTTCAGTGCAGTAAAATTAAGTTAATTAACTACTAGTTTTAGTTTTTACCTATTTGACAAATTTTAGCTTTTGGCTGATATTTTGCTGTTTTTTGTTAAATGCTACTGTTCTGCCTTTGCTAAAGTTAGCTGAACCGTTTCTAAAAACCTAAATTAACAAAACTGTTACTAAAAATATTGATGAGAAAAAACTACCTTAGAGCCTAAAAAAGTGGAACTATAGCTAAAAGCTAAAATGTGTGGAAACTTAGCTAAAAGCTAAAATAGGTAGAACCATAGTTAGAAGCTAAAATATGGAACTTTAGCTAAAAAGCTAAAATGTGTAGAACCTTAGTAAAAGCTAAAATATGTAGAACCTTAGCTAAGAGCTATAGTATGTGGAACTTGAGCTAAAAACTAAAATGTGTGGAACTTTAGCTAAAAGCTAAAATGTGTGGAACCTTAGCTAAAAGGAGTTTAACCAGAGTTCAAAGCTTTATTGAGCAGAGCCACAGCTAAACGCATGCTGTTGGCTACTGTTTTCACTGTTTTTAAGCTATTTGACAAAATTTAGCTTTTGGCTGGTATTTTGCTGTTTTTAGTTATTTGCTACTGTTCTGCTAATTGTATATTTTTGTTTTGCCTTTTGCCATTTTAGCTTTTATCTGCTTTGTAATATTTATACACTTTTTTGATACTTTTAGCTTGTGGCTACTGTTTTTGCTCATTTTAGCTTTTTGCTACTGCTCTGCTACTTTTAGCTTTTGGCTACGGTTTTCATTGTAGCCTATGTCAAAGTTTTGGCTGATATACATTTTGTGCTACTGCCTTTTTATTTTTAGGTTCTTGTTTCTGTTTTGCATATTTTTACTTTTAATCACTTTTCTTCTGGTTTAGGCTACTTTCTCCCGCTTTGCTAACTTTAGCATTAAGTCAAAAACAGTAATAAGATCAAAGATATGAAATAAGAAAGCTACTGTTCTGCCTTTTTTTTAGCTCGTGTCCTTATTGTTTCAGCTTCTGTTTTAACTTTACCTTGTTCTGCTTTTACGATTCATTTCCACAGAAAATGTAAAATTTTCAGTTTTTTCTTGTATCTGAGGTTCGGCACACATCAAAGAGTATCCTGTGTGGATGGTAACAGATCCCTGCTGTGTGTAGCAGATCTTAATCAAGGATCGGGTCCTGCTATAAGTCCAGAGCTGTAGGCCCGACCCTAATCTCTTTGACACATTATACAGTAAATCAGAGTTAGGTCGAGTGCTGCCAACTCGCTCCAGCCAGTGTGTGGATTTATGACTGGACTTACCATGAGTGCTTTTTTCAATAAGCACAGTGTCTCCTCTCTTTTTTATTTGGGCCTGAAAACAATAAACCGCCTAGTGACGAGGGCTTATATTAACTCTGAGGCGTTCGTGGATCGCTTTGTGCCACTGTGGATTATTATTGGAGGTAAGAGGTCCAAAGGATCGTCTGCTTTTAGCTGCAGCATCCAATGGGAGTGACGTCTTCGAAGCCGAGGCAGGGCGTACGCTGACGGATGGCCTAGCTTTGCGTCCCATTCTGGTCCCAGACCGGAGCGGTTGTTCTGAAAGTATAAGAAGCCAGCTGATGGACGAAGGAGAGACGGCCACTCCGCCTGTGATGAATCAGTACCTGCTCTGCAGATAGATAAACTAATGGAATCACTTTTGAATTTTCACTGGAAATTTCCCATTTAAAGAGAATTTGTTCGTCTGTGGCATCTTCGATTTGACTCGACTGAGTAAAATAAATAATCAGAATAAGCTTTATTATCATTGTACTGAAATACAGTGAGATTATGTTCGTACAGTCATCCGGCTGAGTGCACGTTGCTGCTGCTACTGGAGCGCGACCCCTTATCCTTTTTCAGAATACTTTTTTAGATGGAAAAGGAAAAAGTCCATGAGGATGGATAGCGGTATTACAAAAAAGATCTCTTCACATCTTGTCCTTATCAGGACACGATTTAAGATATCAAAAAACAGCAAGCACATTTATAAACAAGTTACATATGCATTTGATGGAATGACAGTGAGATTTGTCCATGAAGCATTTCCAGATAGGCCATAGTCCTGATAAGATGTTGGTCAGCCGGCACAGTTCTGATCTGATAAGCCTTCACAAACGCTCTCGGGGGGGGGAGACTTTTTTTCTTGAGTCCTGCTGGAACTTTCAAGGTCCTAAATGGCCAGATTTATGGGCATTCCACTGGTCCATGCTTATGACTCTCCTTCAAGGTCATCTCCAACATGCTGGCGAGTCCCAGAAGCTGCAGGTGGCCTGTGATTTTAACAAATCGCTTCCATCTTATGGTTTAGCTCGTAAATCAGCTGATTTTGAATACTCAAAGCATGAACCAAACCATCACACAGACTCAGAAGTTTTGCCATTGCCAAAACTGCTGCCGCCGTCTTCCTCAATAGCCGATAACAAAGGAATCTGCCGATGGATCAATCAAGAAGGATCAATAGCAGAAGGATCTAAAACTGCAGTATGACTTTTTTATAATTATTTATTGTTGTTGCTGTTGTCCATTGTTGTCATCTTTCTTTGTTGAAATCAGGTCTGTCTTGTAAATGAGTCCTCGAGGCTCAATGGAATTACCCGTCTAAATAAAGGTTGAATGAATGAATGAATGAATGAATGAATCTACCTGATACTGCTGCAAAACCTCACTGAAATATCCAACTGTAAGTTTACATTAGTGATCACCATTAATAAGCTTTTGTCTGTATGTTAACAAAATATTTCACAATCTACTGGACATATTTTAATGAAGCTCTTGGTAATCAATAAATGTTCATCTATAAAAGATCAGTATTTGGTGCCAACCCATTTTAAGATGGTCGCCAAAGCCAGCTGGCCTTAGATAACACAAATATGGCTACAATTCAGTCAGATATTGTTTTAAAATTTGGTATGGTAGTAGCTGAGAGTCATTCACAACATGTGCTGAATGTGATATCTTGCAACGCTGCATGGTATCTTCACGGTTGGAGCAAAACGACTACATCTCCATCATTTCTTATCATAAGACGATCTCAGTCCGTATCTTTGGCATAAAAGGGCTTTTCTTGCAGAACAAAAAGGGAAACCACATAGATGTAATTTTACTTCACTGCCTCAGCCTGTGCCTCAGCCTGTAAGTCACCTCCCTGGAAGGGGCTAAGTCATGTTAACCCCCCCCCCCCCCCCCACACACACACACACACACCCGGGTCTTATAAAGAGGTGGTGTTAATGGAGGCGTTCACAGAAGTGATTTGCAGCCTGCGTCTTTATGCCGGCACTGGTAGCCTTGAGCCGTGTGATTGATGGTGTTTATCGTTGTGTGTTGGACTCGGCTCCGTGGCGTTTGACGTTTCGGCACGTTCAGTTCCGTTTGGACTTCTCGTTGCGACATCATCGGGAATGATCGTGAACTCCTGACTGAGCACCAGGTCTCAAGGACAAACTTTGTGCCTCAAAGTGTGACCCAGTTCCAGGAGCAGGGAGAGGGAGCTGATATAAGGGACAGATTGGTGTGTATAAAGCTGTGGCAAGGCCTAGCCTACTTCTCGTACCCTACTTTGCCCTTCTCTTTTTGTTTGAACTGAGCGGAGGAGCTCGTCCATCTCTACCAGTTATTCTTGGTGATTTAGAGCAGATGATCAAAGGTCAATTTCAGGTTAAAGGCTATGAATGCTGCTTTATAAATGTTGTTTGCCCGTTAGTCGCCATCAGTTGCAGTGCAGTAAAATACTGGCTTCAGTATCAAAACAAGGATGAAAAGTAGTCGTTTATCAGATGAGTTATGAAAAAGAAATAAAACGATATGAAAACTGCCTTTTTAGACTTGTCTTAGACTGATTTCTCTTTAGATTGACAGCAACTTTAAATTTGGTTCTTGTTTTCCATTATTTCAGCTGCAGCATGTGTAGTGTTTGATGCTGCACTAAAACTGCAGTTTTGTTTACGTCCATTCGCCTTGAAATTTCTTACTGTCAGCTCCTGTACTGAACTATAACTATAACTGCCACCTTAATTCAGTTAAAGGTCTAACCACTGCTCTCCCGTGCCGCCCAGTATCAGACTGATAACTCGGTTTTCTTCTAATGGTTCATCCTGTTTAAACATGGACAGCTAAACCAGAATGATCTTTAAGTGAAAGTCCTTCTTCCTAGTTTTCTGTTTTTCTCTTCTTTTTCCTGCACACCAAAGTCAGCAAAGTGTTCTGCACAAGTTTTTGTTCTCCTTTTGATTAAAGGAAATGGCACCAGAGTGAAGCAGGGAAAGAGGAGGTGTATCTGGATCAGTGAGTGTGTGGGCTGTGCTCCAAAGAGGAGGTGAAAGCAGAGGAAGGGGAGGGGATTGCGCTCCCATTCACATGGCTTCAAGAGTGAGCTGAGGGTATTTTATGGAAGGGGGATTTAGAAAGAGGGGTGGTCGTAACAAGACGTAGTGTTTGAGGTGACCGAGCTGAGGCTGAATAATCAGGAAAGCTGGTCAGACTCCAAAGCAGCCATGCAGGAAACAAACTGGGGTAAGAAACTCAGAACTAGACTGTTGTAGAAAAGGGAAGTTGTCTTTTATTACTTTGTCAGTAATGAGACAAGATGTTCGATTCATTAATCAACATAAACGTACAACACATCTAGGTTATGCAAATCATTACATAATAAAACATTAATTTCAAAGACATAGAAAACAAGTAATTGATTAATTGATAATGGTCACGATGATTAGCATATTTAAGCAAAGGCTAGTTTTGTATTTGAGCATTCACATTTTTATTTGAGCTCTTTAAAAAGTGAAAACTGTTTTCTATGCGACTGTCCGTCAGTAAAAGTAAACAAACCAAAAGATTAGATTTAAAAATGACAACTGCAGACCTAAAAGCTGCTCTTTCTCAGTTAGTTCTCAGTAAAACACAAAGATAAGCTCTAACCTACTTG